AAAAAAAAAAAGACCAATAGGGCACTTGGGGGCAAGGAGCAAACGGGGCAGGTGCTCAAGCACCCCTAGTACCTCCCCGCCCTCTCTGCATGTGCCTGGTTTGATGTCATTTGCGATCAGTGCCATTGGACAACTATGAAAAGAAATCAGTTGTACACTATTTTAATTGGTGGTATAAGACTACAGGGAGTTTGATAGAATTACATGCCAAACTTTTCACTTTATTAGTACATCTAATACCATGGTATTAATATTAAATGGTATCAAATGAAATGAATTGTTTTCATTTGTGCACTACTTTGTTTGTGGTTGTACACATTATCGAAGAGTCAAAAGCATTAAAATAGTTTTTGCAAGGCACTGCAAGCATGTGAGTGTGTGCATTTATACCTGTAAGCAGAAGAAGATTAGGGTGGCCATGCCACACCAGCTGTGAAGAGAGTACATGTCTGGGATCTTGGCTGCTCTGTGAAAGTCAAACACAGCTACAATCCCTGCACACACACAATATTATACAGGACAGTTTCATGACAGGAAGTAGTGATTTTTTCTGTCCATTGTCAAAGTTTATTGAATCAACTGTCTCTTACCTATGATACTGATGATGAGGGCGAGCAGGTGAATAATGCCATGAAGCAGCTTCACATGTTTTTTTGCTTCATTACAAAAAACTCTGTAAACTAAAATGGCTAAAAAAAAAAGAGAAACAGGTCTTCATCAGGATCAAAAACTTGGACTTTGAGTGGCATCTCATTCAGGTTAGTTGTTGTCCTTTTCTTTTATTTGAAATATTTCTGTTTCCATATTATTTAGGATCTAAATTATATTGTCTTTTCTTTTTCCATGTTGGACGGTGCCTTCATCTGCATCTAATAAAGTAAGTGCCACTTGGACTCTTGAAAACCATTAATAGTTCACATTTTAAAACCCTGTTAATACTAGAATTCCACATTATTTCAGCCCTGTTGAATTTTAGATTTTGGAAGTCATTTTTCTTTGATTTGTTTAGTGATAACCAAAGCATGGACATTTCTTTAAGAACAATGTGTTAAATTCATAATATTGTAGAAATTAATGAGTTAAACCCAGTTTATGTCGCTGTAAACTGAAAGTCTTACATTTTTATTCCAGTGTTAGTGAAACTATATATTGACTTTGAAGGCCTTTTACCAGTTCTCTGAGGAATGGTTTTGTGTTATTTGTTTTGAACGTTTGAATATACTGGAAATATGTGGTTTGAGGCATAGTGGTGCCTTTAAATAAAAATTCTGTTCTGAAGGTTGCTTATCACATCCTCTTCTGTGTTATGTGAAGTTCAGATTATGCATTTTAGAACCGCACCAATTGTAGCACTTCTAAGAAGCCTACACTGGGTCAGGTATTAATGTTCTATCGTAAAACTAAGACTGTACTTTAAAAAGTATCATTACAGTTTTCTTGGCAGTAGTAAAACTAAATTTACAGTAAAAATACTGGAACCTACAGATGCCAGTATTTGAAGGTATATTTACTTTCACCACTGTATTTTACGGTGGCCAACAGGTACAAACACCCAGCAAAGACGAGAAAAACACATGCAACAAAAAAGAGATGCAAACAAAAAATGCTGAAAACAGAAGTGATCCAGACCACTAGAGGGAGTCGAACAAAGAACAGCTGTGTCCGAAGTCAGGTGACAGCGTGAATCACAGAGCGGCGAAGGAAGAAAAAAAAACGGACTCGAAGTATGTTTTCTTTTTTTTTCCTCCTGATTTCTCTATTACTCTTCACTTTTCATATTAAAGGCTGTTGCATATTAAAAAAAAATCTTAGTCTGGTTCTAAAATGTTCAAACACGTATAGCACATTTACACAAGGAATGTAAGCAAAGTATCCCTTTTCAAATACTCTCCAGATCTCAGGTAAGACAATACAGTTTAATCAAACTATTGTATTTTTAGGCTTAACTTTAAAAAGTCAAACCGATTTGTTCAGGAATAAATGAAATATTTGAGTGAACCAAAATATTACAACTAGATGTTACCTGACTTAATATCTGTGTTTAACTGTCATTTAGGAAAGCCCAAATGAGTCAGGTGTTCTCCCGTGGTATACTAAACCTGGACCAGCTGGCGAGGGGTGCTGATATCTCCGAAAACGTCGGAGCAATATTGCAATTAGGCGATGCACTGATGAACCAAGCAGAAATGTGAGATTTATACATCTACATTCTCGCCTACAAACATTGTTTAAATCATGTGTCACGGTTGCTAAGCAACATAACGCCGAGGTGGAGGCTAGGTAGCTAGCTGAAGGCTACAGCTTTTCTGCAATGCTCTCTGCCTTCGCAGAACCCCTCTTCCGTATACCGGGTCGTTTCTCAAGCCCATGACAGAATAAGCTTAAAAGGATGCAGACACTGAACTCGGACACAAAGCTCTAGTGGTCTGGAACACTTGTTTTTATATATATATATATATATATTTTGCATCTCTTTTTTGTTTGCGTCTTTTCTTTGTTGTATTTGTTTTTTTCGTGTTTGCTGTGCGTTTGCACCTGTCGGCCACCGTAGTATTTTAACGATTCTGTATTTCAGCTCTGCTGGGCTCCATATGGTTATTTGTTATAAGTTGCATTGTGATCACTGTTATGTGTAGAGTGTTATGGGGTTCCCCTGTCTGACTCTGCTGACTCCCCTCACATGTAATGGACCTGTCATGTGGGCGGGGAATCAGGGGAGCGAGTGGACCAGGACCGATGCTGATCTGACAGAACACCGGAAGAGCGGAGAGTTCAGTGTGTGTTAGCAGTGAAGCTATTCAGTTGAGTGTTACAGTTTGTTAGAGGGGCGAGCTGCAGTCTAAGGAATAGCAGCTCGCTCTTATTTCTAATAAACCCTGTTGACGGTACCACATCTGCGGTGTGTTGGCGTCATTACAGTATTTACTTACAGTACTACACCACTTTAAAAGGTAATTACAGGATTGAAAAGGTAAATGTCCAGTAAAATACTGGTATCTACAGACGCCAGGTTTTTTTTAGTTTTTTTTTTTACCGTTTTTCTGAAAGAACGGTAAAAAAAAAAAAAACCTGGCGTCTGTAGATACCAGTATTTTTTTTTTTATCGTTCTTTCAGAAAAACGGTAAACTACTGGCAGGTATAGATGCCAGTAGTTTACCATTATTTCACAGTATCTATACCGTACTTGCATTGACAGTAATCTACTGTCAGGATTAATTACAGTACAGCTACTGTGCATTTACAGTAAACTTCTGGTGTCTATAGCTGCCAGTATGTTACTGTAAATTTACAGGATTATTTCATAGAGTGTATGTTTTATTTTGGTCATTATTGTTACAATTAGTCTTGATGTGTGTGTGATAGGCGTGTCTATCGGACATTTATAGAAATGCGGAACAAATTGCGTCCTGTATCGGTTCAAAGCGGGACATAACATTTAACAGCCAAATACAGGATGATTCCGTATTTTAAGGGACGGGTGGCAACCCTAAAAGGCAGGGAGAAACGATAAAGCCTATAAATTAAAAAGAGGTGGATAATTTTCATTTGTCGTGCTATTAATTGATTTACTGTTTATCACGACAGGCCTACAGCCACTCTGTAATAATGTACATTCAGAATATTGATTTAATATTTAAGATATGTATGCTACAGCCAAAATACCAGTAGTAGGTATATGCAACCCATTTGACAAGCGAGATTAAATGACTCAACTTACCTCAAAGCCACCATTTTGACTTTAATTGTGCCATCAGCTGAAAGGATACAATTTTATCTTGTATCTTAAATGATACTTTA